AATGTGATAATTGGCGACCAAACTTTTTGGTCGCGAAATATGTCAATTGGCGACTAAGATATTTAGTCGGGAAAATATCACTTTTCGCGACCAAAGTGTTTTAGCAACTAAATGAATTCGTCGCGGTAATGATATATTTAGCGACCAAAAATTTAGTCGGCAAATCCGACTTTTTCCGACCAACCAAAATTTTGGTCGCGAATTACTTTTGCCGACCCTCAATTGGCGACCAAAGTAGCGACCAAAAAAATTGGTCGCGAATAACTTTTGCCGACCAAAAATGGACTTTTAGCGACCAATTTTTTGGTCGGCAAATGTGTTATTTCTTGTAGTGTAGTGAGTGAAGTTTTGGTATGGCATGATTTAATTGAATTGACCAGGATAAGGGCGGCTCTATGGTTAAAGCTAATTCTGAAGGGCCATGTTTGTTTGGGTGGACATGAGCTTGGGATTGGACTAATAGTCCAATAAAATTATTAATCCGATGTTTGGTTAAACAATTGAAGTACGGATTAATTATTTTAAACTTGACTATTAGTTAAGATAGGATACATAATCCAACGGATTGGTAGTCCTAGGACTATTAGTCATGGGAATACTAATCCAGTCCGCCCAAACAAACATGGAAAGAGGTCTTTGATTGCCAACAAAGTGGAGAGTAAGGTGGCTGGTAGTCTTGGATTTCCATCAAAGTTTAAAGTTTAGGTGTTTTGCTTCCTCATTAGACATTTTGTTTATGTTTATGATGTGTGGTTTTGGGGAGATGGATGTTTGGCTATGTTTTAGTTTGCACAGCATGCCTGCTTTTATACTAACCTTATTTAGTTTTGTATTTTAAGCTTCCATGCTTTGCTCTTTGCCTTTTATTGATGTTTTTGTCATACTGCTCATATTACTTTGATCATCAATAAAATTTCACTTTTGCTGATAATAAAAAAGAAAGCTTATTAATTTATATAATATTTTCTTAATATATTTCATATTTATATTCATCGATCACTACATACTCCGGTAAAAAAAAATTCTATCAAGGACATTGATGCATGCAATTCTTGGTGGATACTAATTGCAAGTGACAAACGACCATTGATCTCGGCACTAAACTCTAGCAAAACCAATTTGGGCAATGTCACACCACCAAACAAGTTGAGTATAATAATTGGAACTATATGTTGGAAAATTTGGTTTATAAAGCTTATTTTGGGCCGACTTTGAGCCCAAAATTGAGTGGGCCCCGAACGTCATTTGGGGTGGGTCCGAAAAGGTAACGTGTTCCTTGCCGCGTGGCAAATCACATGGTAAAGACGGTTCGTCAAAACCATTTATGAGTGAATGGAAACATGACGTCATTTTCGGGTTCGTGGAATAGGAAATTTAAGGAAGTAAATGTGGGTTTCTTTGGAAGGGGTTGTCCCACATTGAAACTTTAAGAGAGTTTTGTTGAGTATATCAGCTCTAGCCTACAATACTTGGGTTGGGCCTCAAGGGGCACCCCAAGTTTGTAGAAGGGAGGAGTTATGGACAAAGTGTACCTTAACCCAAACCACCACACCGGCGGCGCGGGTGTGGGTCGGGTCTTATATTAATTTTTTGGACAAAATTTCATGCTGGAAAAATTAATTTAAATTTTGTAATTCGAATCCAAAAGTTTTCTCCTTTTGTCCGAATTTCCTATAGTAACTGTCGAATAGTTTTAATCAGTTTCAGATCTGTTAATATGTCCAAACAGATTCAAAAATCTGGACAGTTTCAACTGCAGTAGTTAAATTTGTTGAAAACAGTTTGCATATCTGTTTGTTTTCAAACAGCACCTGTTGGATTCAAACCACACCTGTTCATTTGAATATTATACCTGTTCGGACAGCACTTGTTGTGCCTATAAATACCAACATTCCAGCAGTGTTATTACATCCGAAAATCAGTCTGCAACTTATATATTTGCTGTGCAATTTTCTCCATTGCATTATTAATTCTTCATTCTAGTTTTAGAGTAAATTTAAAAGAGAGTATAAGAACACAATGTTTTAGTTCGTCGTACAAATTTGTGTGGAGTGCTACTACAAGTTTGTGAAGATCATTGTATCCTGGGAGATAGACGCCATTAGTCTGTAAGCACCGAAGCGGGGCGAATCTGTCTTAAGGACAGAGTGTTACACACTCGACTTGGTCTTTTATTTTTCCATTTGGTTCGACAAAATAAATCCTGTAAGTTTTATTTTATTTTGTTTGATTTAGTTTTAATTTATTTTATTTATACAGAAGATTGTTCCAACACTATAGTCATAGTTTGGCTTCTTCCCTACCCACATCTTCACCACGTCCTCAAATGTCAAAAGCTATCGAACCTTCAACCGTCCGATTTCAATGATTTTTTTGCAGCCACTACATTCGATAACCTTCGCCACAAAATTTCACACCAAGGCTGACATTTTCTCCCCACCCTCTTTTTCCCAAAGATTTTTTCATAAGTGACTTCTGTATTAAGGCCTCGTTTGGGAAGTGGCTATTTTAGTAGGCTATTTGGCTTTTTGGCTATTTTAGTAGGCTATTTTAATTTTTGTGTTTGGGAAGATGATATGGATTTTATTTGAGTTGTTGTATTGAAAAATGTGCTGAAATGATGTTTGAAGTTAAAATGACAAATTTGTCCCTAAAATTATAATTTTTTAAATTGATGTGAAGGGGCAAAATTATAATTTCTCATGTGATGTAGAAATTTGACACTTTGACAGCCTACACTGTCACGGCAACTGGGGCTATTTTTTTTTTTTTGGTAAAAAGTGGTGAATAGTAAAGCTTTTTGGCTTATTTTTCATTTTAGGCTATAATAGCCTCCAACGGCTCTTCTCAAACAGCGTCTAAGTGTGAAAGTTCACAAATTTTTATTGAATGATTTTGTATTTTAAAAATAAAAAGTACGAATATTTACAATTTTTATTGGATTTTTTTTATAATTTCAATATAATAAAGCGTGAATGTGGATATTTTGTTGATTGATTTAAAGATTTCATAATGTTTTAATAAGTTTATTAGTCGAAAGTGCGAAATTTCACACTTACAGTTTATGTGTCACAACTTTAAGGTATTCACATTTACAATTTTCACACTTCCCATAATTTCACATTATTTTATTCATTGGAAGTGTGAATATTAACACTTATAACTTTCACATGTGCCCGAAATTCACACTTACAATAATTCACACTAATATATATATATATATATTTATTTATTTATTTATCTACAGAGATATAGTGTCTAAATGGATAAGTGCTCTATCATCACTTTCTAATAAAGTATAAATTTTGTCCAAGTAAAATAAGTACTTTAACTGACATGATTCACTTCTAAAATATAGATTTCATTGTAATTTTCAGCATTATATCTAAAAACTAGATTTTTGTTTTTTCATATAGCTACAAGACTTGTTGGATTTGTAGAATATTTTGGGACCAAATGTGATCCAAGTCAAGATTTATTGTTGTTTTTTGTTTTTTGTTTTTTGTTTTGTTTTTTTTTTTTTTTGATTTGGCTTTCTTCTTCTTGTTATTGTGTTTTTCTTTTAAGCATAATTAATATAAAAAAATAAAAAAATAAAAAATCTCATAGTAGAAGAGACAAACCCCAATAAATATACAAGCAAACTAAGACCCACAACATGTGAACCCCCTTATAGTTAAGACTTGTTAAAAACACCAAAAAATCGAAGGCAGTTATGGGTCAATGGTAGTTTGGTCAACTGATGATTAGGTGGGTCAATGGGCCTTAGAAGAAATTCAATGACGGGCCTATAGATCCACTATGTTTATAACCGGGCCTTGAATGAACACCTGGCCCAAAGGCTGCCCCAAGAAAAAGATCAAAACACGAAAGGAATATGTATTGAAGAACATTTTAAAGAAATGATGAGAAAGCAGATTCAAAGGGCCAAGTTTTATCATGGAAAAGCAAAGCACAACTGGAAGCAAATATCTTGTAAGATATTTACTTTCACTAACTTTTTGCCAAAAATAAATAAATAAATATACAAAACCATGAAGAAGAAAAAAGCAATTCAAATTAAAACCTATGCCTAAAGCTTGGAATATAATGCCCTTTCCAGATCAACAAATGACAGCTTGGCTCAATGGCAGAATGGTCCGAGGATTCTATGCGACCAAAATTTCTGTCCATATATCCCCAATACACTCCCAATCGCGTGATATGGTGGGAATAGGGCTGCAACCCAAATGCTTCAATCGGGCTAAGCATCTTTTCAAATCCTAAACTCGGCTCGAGGTGAAACTTTAACCTGAACTGAACTGACTTGTCTTAACCAGAGCAGGAATTCAGCTTACTCAAATTTAATACCAAAACATTATCTTGGTCCCAGTATTGTGTTTTCATAAACAAATGTATCGCACGTTTAGAAAAGAAAGAAGGGAAAAAAAAATTATTCCAAAAAATTACAAACATGAAATATAATAAAACAATCAGTTTGAATTGTGTACTAAGCAATAAAATTGATAACGTTGCAATATGAATTAATCAAACACCGGAAGATAATCAATATTTTATATGTATATTTCATATTTAATAAATATTTCACATATATTAACATTTGATTTGGGTTGTGGGAGCTCAACTTAGGCCTCAGCCAAATTTAATTCAAGTTAACAAATTTTGAGCTAAGATATTTACCAAATTTTAGGTTGCTCAGGTTGTGGGAGCTCAACACAGGCTTTATCTAAATTTAATTTGAGTTGACATATTTTAGCTCAAATATTGACCAAATTTAAAATTATAATCCCAAGGTCTTAAAGTATACTTATTGGAGATGGTGTGGTTAAAAATGTATTGAAAATGTAAATTTCAAAGGCATAGAATCCAATGTCAGTAGAATTTAATGAATTGATTTGAAATTAGTGACTAAAGTTTGTCATTTGGGCAACATGCTTAACTAGTTTGGCTGGCATTTAATCACTCCAAATAAAACCATAACAATCCCAAAAAAACCATGACAAACCTAGCATTCCTTTGCTTCCTCCTAAAGATATCCTTAAAACAAAAAACAAAACTCAGTACTCTTCACATTTGGTCCACCACCCCCACAATGTAATGCTTATATGTAGCTTCTGCAATTTCTTCTTGCAAAAATCCTCCATAGATGGCTTCACAAACAAAAACCATGATCAAGTATCTGCGACTCGTGACCTTCATTGGGGCAATTCTTATCGTGAATTCACTTCAAATTTCAGTAGCTTCTGTTGTTTCAACAGGAGATTTCAACAAGGATTTCTTCGTGCTGTGGTCTCCTACCCATGTAAACACTTCTGCAGATGGCAGTGAAAGAAGGTTGATACTTGACAAAGATTCAGGTACTCTCTTTAAAATAAAATAAAATAAAAAATCACAAATGCCAATTTCCTCATGCATCCCTGGCCCACCCTTTATGAGTTTTCCCCTCACAGATAAAGTGGGGTTGGCCACAGGTTTCATTCCCGTCCCTTTCAATCCCCTTCTCTAACTATATTTATTAAATTTCTTTGTGTATAGATAATATATATAATTTAATTTTCTTAAATATAATAAGACTAAAAATAGCAAAATATTAGACTTAGTACTCAACCTTACCATTGTTTTTTTTTTCTTTAAATCTCTCATCTTACATCATTTAACTTTCATCACTAATTAATCATTATCTGTAATATAGCATATGATCTCTAAATTTATTAGTACTGTTTCAAAGGTTGCAAAATTAATCCATCCTTGTTGATACCTCCTGATTTGCTCGGACCCGTTGCCATCCTAAACTAGGGTACAATTTTGATGGTCCAACCTAAATTTTTTAAGATTTGGACAACAAAATTTTTAATTCAGTACTAGCTTAAGCAAAAATTCAAAAGCCCAAAATAAATTTGGGCCAAATATGTGCAAAAGTACTGGACAATCCGAGCAACGCAAAAACTGAATTGTAAATAAAAATATTAAATATATGTAAACTGTTAGTTGTTGGATGATGGTAAATAATGTAGAATTTTAAATCATATTCACCATATATGTCATATTCACAAATAACACAATACAAAATTTGTCATGTCCCTTTCTCACTCAGAAATGGCAAAAATCATTGCAACATTTCCTCAATTCTCAACTCTTTCTTCTTTCCTTCTTTCTCATCTTATAAATTATTTGCTTTGATATTATTAATTATTTTATCATAAAAATCATAACAGGGTCTAATTTCAACAAATTAATTATCCTGCTTGCAAGAAAAGAATAAAAAAATCAAATATGTGGGTAATTTGAGCATAGACTGAGTTTAATTTATTATGTACGGATTGGGCTTGAGCAGACAAATTCAGATTGGAGGTTGGGCTTGAAGAGGCTTAGGCAATTCTCAAAACTCACCTGAGTTACCCCTATCCTAGATGCAGTGCGATGACATAAATTTCACTAGTCTTTTTTTGTGTTCATTTCTCTTATTCAATTTGTTGTTTGAAACCTCTCTAGGCTCTGGATTTGCCTCCAACGACATGTTCCTGTTTGGCCAGATTGACGTGCAAATTAAGCTGATACCAGGTGACTCGGCAGGCACAGTCGTGGCCTTTTACGTAAGAAATTTGATTCTTTTCTTCCAAATTTTCATTGTTGTTGCAATCTCTGATCAAAAAACTTGTGTTTGGTAATGCAGCTAACATCCGATCAGCCTAATCGCGATGAGATGGACTTTGAGTTCCTTGGCAACGTCAGTGGGCAGCCTTACATCGTTCAAACAAATGTTTTTGCTGATGGGTTCGACGACAGAGAAGAGAGAATCTATCTGTGGTTTGATCCAACAGAGGACTTCCACACCTATTCAATCCTTTGGAATCTTAATCAAATTGTGTAAGTTATTGACGATTACAAATGAAATTCTAACATGTTGCTTTTGCTAATTCTATTCATTTAAGCATATCACTTGATAATGCCCAAACTAAGTTAGAAGACAGTCAATGGAACAGTTCGTTACAAAAACATACATTTGAACAACCGTTATATTGAGATAAAAAATAAAAATAAAAAGTAATACCTAGGAATGCAGCTTCAGTTGCATAAGTTAAGGTACAACAACATTACAATAGGGCAAAATTCACTTTTATCTCATGTTTAGTCTACGTACTACTTTACCCTAACATTTAAGCACAATATTAATAATTTTATATAGTTTGTAAATTGAAATGCATCATTAAATATTCTATCAAAATTAACAATAAATGTGAAACATGTGTATGAAACATGAATGACTTTGTTAAAATACATTTTTCACCCAAAAAGACAATAAAAGTACATAATTTGCACAATGTTAAAATTACTTGTATGTTTATGGTTATTTTGATCGTTTTACTTAAGCCATTAATTAAATAGGCAATGCATTTTAATTCACGAACCATAAAAAATTATGTACTTATTTTTAAATATTAAAAAATTAACTCCATAAACCATGTGAGATAAAGTGAAATTTGTTTTTATTTTAGATCTTGATGTATGTGTAATTTTTTAAACCATGTGTAAATTTTTTTCTCTTCTCTTGAATTCGAGGGTGTATTTATTGTAGCTTCATGGTAGATTGGGTTCCAATTAGAACATACAGAAACCATGCAGACAAGGGAGTGGCATTTCCATGGTGGCAGCCAATGAGCATCAAAATCAGCCTATGGAACGGTGACACTTGGGCGACACGTGGTGGCAAAGACAAGGTTGACTGGTCAAAGGGCCCCTTCATAGCCTCATTCGGGAACTACAAGATTGATGCATGCGTATGGAAAGGAAATGCAAGGTTTTGTAGGGCAGATAGCCCTACGAATTGGTGGAACCAGGACAGGTCCAGCTCTCTAACAAGAGCACAGAGGAGGCTTTTCAAATGGGTTAGGAAGTACTATCTCATATATGACTACTGCCAAGACGACAAGAGATTCCAAAACAACCTTCCCAAGGAGTGCTCTCTTCCCAAATACTGAATATCAATTAAAAAATTGTTAAATAAATAGAATTTTTATACAAAAAAAGTCATACAAAATGGTGTGATCATGACCGATTTATAATTATGAATCACATTAATGTACTTTTTGATTTTCAATGAATAGGTATAAATGAGTCACATTATTTTGTATACAAATTCTGTGTATAGCATTTATCACAAGAAAACTTTTTTCATTCTTTTCTCCTTGTTCTCATAATCAATTGTTATTCCCATGATTTAATTTGATAATTGTTGAAAAGTTTTGAAAAGCTCGTTCGGGTAAAGTATCTCTATCCTTGGAAGTTTCTCTATCCTTGGAAGCGAATCAATCTTTTAATCAATTAATGTATTTTCCAATCTATCTTTGAAAACTGCAAAGTAAGATTGTATTTGGGTTAAGCTTTGATATATATTTCTCAACCCATGATGTAGTTGGCTTTGAGATACATATGGTTCTCAATATAAGAGTAGATTTGTTATGAGTTACATGGTATCACACATACATTTATAAAAAAAGAGAAAAGAAAGAATAGAATAGCTTGTGTCTATAGAAAATATTGAAAAATCAGAAATGCTTTCTACACAGGCCGCTACGGTGTCGTTTCACGAACAACGTTGAGAGTGTAAAATTCAATGTATAAAGAGAGAAATACAGGGAAAATGAATTATGTATTGATTGATATTGAATGTTATATTACAAGGATTTATATAGGAGAGGATTTGGGAGTAGGTGAAGGTGGTAGTGGAGGTGGTAGGTGGAGTGGGTGGTAGTGGTTCTCAATATAAGAGTAGATTTGTTACGAGTTACATGGTATCACACATACATTTATAAAAAAAGAGAAAAGAAATAATAGAATAGCTTGTGTCTATAGAAAATATTGAAAAATCAGTAATGCTTTCTACACAGGCCGCTACGGTGTCGTTTCACGAACAACGTTGAGAGCATGGAAATAGTTGTTATTAGGCCAAGTTTGGGAAGTTCAAAATAATCCATCTTTTTATCTTTTTTTCATCACATCACCTTACTACTTTTCTACACATCTTTTCGTAAAAAGACAAAAAGTGCACTTATTTAGGTCATCCTAAACAACCCCTTAGTGTTTTTAGACAAGGCAACAGAAGTGACGGTGAAAGCCACCAAGTAGAATATGGCTAATGAAATGTCGTAGGACACCATTTTTGTTGTTTTGTAAGTGAGAATTGAATTAAGATTATTTAGTAATGAGCGAACAAATGTCATCCCCAAGAAAATTCAAGATTAATTGTACCTGGTGATGAGCTAAGAAATGTTATCCCTGAGAAATTAAATTCAATTAAGAAAGATTGGTGGTGTATAAACTAGGGGTGTGCTTGGACGAGTTGGGAGGTTGTCCAAACCTAATACAAGTTGTGTTGAGAGTTGCCCAAGTCTCATTCAAGTTGTGTTGAAAGTTGTCCAAGCCTGATTTGTAACTCAAAGTTTTTCGCCCAAGTCCGACCTAAGTTAGGCCCGAATTGACCTAGTTACCTGAAATTCATATAAATTCGATATATATATATATATTGCAAATAGGTTGATCAATTTGTCAAAAGTAGACACTATTAACATTTTTTGGTAAAATCATTAATAATATTAAAACAAATAATTTATATACTGTGAAAGGGATGGAGAAAAGAGAGATAAAAATTGAAAACCGCTACAGTGGTTTTTATAACTTTCAAGCTAGAAAATAAAATGATAAGGTTTTGCTTTCTGTTACTTATGTATAATATATATCGAATATGATTTAATGATTTAAATTATTTTAATATCATCTAATGGTTAATAATTAATATGTATATTTAAAATTTTATATATTTACATATATAATTCAGGTTGCTCAGCTTATTTGCTGACCATATTTAATTCGGATTTGTGAATTTTTTTCCAAGCTTGCACCGAACTCAAAAATATGTTATCCAAATCCTAAAAAAATTCCAACTAGATTCGAGTTGCTTGATTTGAGTCCACTCAAGTTGCACCTCTAACTAAAAATATTGTACTCCTAACGAAAAGAAAGCATTAATGATTCCCTCAAGGAGGTAATCAATGTGGATAATCTTAAGACCATGGCTAAAGTAATCTTATTAATGAAAACCATTCACTATTTGTGCAAATGGAATTCATGTTTTTAAGTAGCATTTGATTCATTGAAATAATGATGAAATGGATTGAAATGGTTATTACTTAACCTTTCTAGGAAATAATCATTGGATTAAAATGGTGAATGATTATTTTATTTTTAATATATTTTTTATTGTTTTTTTAATGAACCAAATGTAAGAATGAGTGTTTTAATAGAATAATAATTCTATTCCATATTCATTTCGAGTAAATCAAACACGAAATAAGTTTTTGTAAATATATACAGACAAGTGCTAGGGAATATTATCTTTATGAACATATTTGTTTGGGGGAAATGAAATATATATAGTACGAGATTATTTGGTTAAAGTGAAATAAAAGATGGGATAAGATTTTAAAGATTATTTTTTACCATTGAATGGCAAAGAGAAGATAATATGGAGGCAGGGACTATCTGTTCCAATAGGAGGTGAGATTTATAGTCTCCTGTATTTTGAATTAATGTTCCAAACTAGGTTGTAAGTCCAACCAAACAAATTTCAAATTGCAAGGATTAAAAAACAAAATTTAAATCCTTGGCTTCACATGTCCCCAAATTAATAAACTACGTGTCTATGTCATTTTAATCATTAAAATTTTATTTTTTTTCATAAACACTTATAAAAAAGACAGAGACGAAAGAGCAATAGATACCTAGGAATCATAAGTGAATTTTAGTCCCCAAATGAATTTGATAAAAACTAAATTTTCAAGACCAAAGAGCAACAGATACTTTAGGAACCCTAAGCAAATCTTCAAAATTATTCCATTAATTTAGACGGTCATTTAAAATTAGAACAATTTACTCAAATTGAAAACTTTCAACAATGAACTTCATAAGATTAAAATTTAGAGGACCAAATAAAAAAAAAAAAAAAGCAAATACAAGCAAAGAAATAAATTGGCAAACCCACCAAAATCCTGCTATCAATTAAAAGAAAGCAAATACAAAATAAACTGGCACACCCACCAGTGCCTCTGCTATCAATTAAAAGTACACAAAGAAATTAGCGCACCCATCGCTTGTAGTGTTCGGTCCGCCTCGGCTTCTTCGAGGCCGGAGGGCAACTTAGCATCGCCGGAATCTTGTGCTCTGGAGATGTCAACGTGCGGCATTCATCGTCGCTGCTATCGCTATTGCTACCACTCTTCGGTGTTTGAATTGTGGGAATTTCGTGAGTGAAAAGTTTGATTTTGATGGTGGGTAGCCAGAGTTGGGGCAAGCCTTGTTGGAATTCTACATCTGTGCACATCTTCTAAATTAAGGTTGGTTTTTTTTTTTGTCTAGAGGGAGAGAAAGAGATTGAGGAGGAGGATAAGAAATGAAGAAGAGGTGTATGTATATATATAGAATTATAGAGAGAGAGAGAGAGTTTTGAAAATATCCCTGATTTTGAACAGTTTTGATACGAGGAATTAAAGTGGTTTTGAACAGTTTTGATACAAGGAATAAAAGAAATCTCCGCATTGATTAAGCTCTTCCATAGCTTCTTGTCACGACCTTGGTTGTTTCCAAGTTATTCGTGCAACACTTAGACAATCTCAAGCTTCACTTGATGATGCTAAGTTAGCCTAGCTCACAAATTTAGAAGAAAGACAAGTTAAGAAGACAATGAGAGTTTGAGAAAATGCCTTTTATATTGACTATGAGGAAGCTTTACAACTCTTGGATGGTTTGGTGCAAATAAGCTCCTCTCATATTTATAGGCTCCCTATGAGCATTAATTCTAGAACTCTCAAGAGAATGTCATGTAGAAACTTCCCTTGGAAGCCTTCTTTACAAGCTACAAGAATGTTCTAGAATACCTTCTAGAACTATCTACACAAATATCTAATTATATGTACAAGTGTATAGGTTCTTGGATTCCCTAGGTCTTTCTAGAATTCTCCATAGTTTGCTAGGGAGTGCTAGATTCTTCCATTAGCCTCTCTTTCTTTCATGCTCCCCTCGGGATATTGTGGAGAATTCTGTAGAGGCGTGACATGTTGCTTATGGGGAAGAAAATAAAAAGATTTTAATTAGCTGCATGTTTGTGTACGATGTGAATAACAACACTTGGGAAATACTCCCCGATAAAGACGAAGGTTTAGCTTTCGTCAAACATAGTTATAATAATTTACTTGAGGTTGGCAATTCCTTGTATTGGACAAGATTGGGAATCATTCATGTGTTCAATATGAAGACTTGAAGGTACTATGTTACAGAAATTGAGGGTATCAGGAATCAAATTTGCAAAGCTTATGATCCTAAACCTGAAAGATTACTTCATTTCAGTGGAAAGGAGTTCTGTTTTCTCACCTTGGATGAGATCGAGGGACGACGGATGGAACGCACCAAAATTCGTTGCTACAAGTTCAAAGTTTCTAAGCAGGGCACTAAAAAAGACCTAGGCAGACTTTATGGCTTCCCTTGTATGTTGTGATAGTTATATAGTTGATTGGCCTTTAGACTTCCGCAGTGACCATGGCCCAGTGCTGTAAGTTTGCTTTACATCCTATCTTATCTTACTCATTTGCAATTTGACTGTTGGCTATAATAACCATATTAGAATTCCTCATAAACTACATTTGTACTGTGCTATATCTTACATGGCTATTCCAGTTCTCTTGCTTCTTTGGAGTTTTAAGGACTGGAATGAAAAATGAAGGTATATGTATCATGCGATTGGGATGCATAGTTTAAGGTTTTTTTTTCCCACTCCTAATGGATTTTTAGATGGAGAAGTGGTTGCATGCCTTTTAGGTGGAAAAAGAGGGTTATTATAATACTCTCATAACCCCTCTAGTGCTGAATTGGTAATAAAAAACATAGTAGTGTGTGAAGCACCCATAACTGAAATTGGAACTCTATTAGGTGAAGGCCAATGGTTGCCTCAAGCCATGCCATGCAGTGGATTTGAAATTGAACATGAACTCAAGGTTTTAAAAAATCAACAGAAATCTCTTGTTATGGATGATAATTGGTTTTGGTAGTTACAGCCACCTATTGTAGCATTTTGTAGCTGTGTGACAAAAAAACACACAAGTAATGGCGACCACCACCATTATGTAACGGCCTTTTGCAATGCCTTTACAACGCCTTTACAGCCATTATGTGTCTGTTTTCAACAAATTCTGCATTTAAAGCCTTTTTTTCTCGTCCTTTGTTGTTTTCTTCTAAAATCACACAAATTCCACACATGATTGATGCAAAAAATTTACATCTACATGTTTTCAATTTCCAATTCTCAACTTCTACAAGATTTAAGGTTAGATGAGCTTAGTTCTTTACTTTGGTTTTGGGTTAGATTTGCTTAACAAAACTTGGATATTATGTTATGTAATTTTCCATTAGTATAGCACATTGTGTTATGAATTATACTAGTGACTCTATAACTAATTATATGAAGGAACATGCTTCATGAATTGCTTTCCATAATAAGGGAGAAGTATCCATAGGTACAAAATCAATATCATATAGAAAATTAAATACATTAATAAAACGAATAATCTCCGTGTTTTTTTAAAAATAATAAATTATAAATTATGGCCTTATAAATTAAATTTTTTTAGTGTTATTGAAAATTTAATTTATATATTAAAGAAAATTATTTTTTATTGTCATTAATTTAAAATTATATATTAAATAATAAAATATAAATTATAATTTTAATTTAATTGAAAATAATAAATTAAAATAATTAAAATATTATGCAAAAAAATAAAAGAAAATAAAAAATTTATTTAATCTAATTAAAAATAATTAAAATATTAAAGCTATGTTTAATATTGCTATTACTTAATAAATAATTAAAAATGATAAAATAGTCATTTAAACATTTATCTTTCTCCATAATATCCCAAACAAACATTATTAAAAATAATCCAATCCAAACATCTAATTCCATAACTAAACAAACAATCAAATAATTTCAGAAATATATCACAAGACTAATATTACAATCCCCTTATCTAATCCATCCAAACAAAACGCACCAAACAGTTTCAAACTGAGAGATGCGAGACAGAGAGAGAGAGCGGCGGAGAGACGAACTGAGTAAGACGGAGAAACATGGCGGAGAGAGAAACGAACTGAGAGAGATGGCGGAGGGATGTGACGACGAAGGACAGAGCCAAACGGAGGGACGGGATGGCGAAGGACAGGATAGAGGGCGACGCTGTGTCCGGCGACCACGCAACGACGGCCAGGCAAGATTGCAACCATAACAAGGTCCATTTCAGTCTCTGTTTCATTTCTTTTGTTATATACATATATACGTATATATGATTGTTTCTATACAGTTTTACTGTTGATTTTTGATGAAAATGTACCAATTGGATTATTGGGTAAACTGTGGCAATTGGATTTTTTGTTTTTTTTGACGAGTGACGAGGGGCTCTTGATTTCTGACTGTTACAAGCTAAATTTATTACTTCATTGGTTGAAATATTCTAAGATGAAGGACACGATTATTTTTAAAGTTCCTGATACTTTTACTTTATCCATGACTTCATTACTGAATTGCTAACTGACTCTGAATTTTCACACAAAATTGGGCTGGGTGTTTTCACATAAAAGTAAAACTTAACTATTGTTATCACAAAGTTCCAATCTGTTAAGACATTTGATATTCACATTTTGACATATCTACTCAATTAACACCAATCTGTAGATTATGTTTATTTGATATGGTATGGAACTATGGATGTAATTATTTTTTTAGAGGGAAAACTATGGATGTATTTAAAAGACTGATTTACTACATAAGCTTGTATCCTCCATAAACGATTGAAGGAAAGAACAAAGCACTAGGAAACCAGCAAACCAATCAAGTCGTTGCTGTCTCTACCATTTTCGATTGGATTCTTCACTGGTAAGTTTGTTTTTTGTTTTGATTCATTCCAACATTCATTCCCAAGCTTGATATTTGTTTTGATTCATTCACTTCACTCCACCCCTCACATTTTTTATGATTTTCTTTTTTTTTAAAATGGGATTTTGTTTACAATGGAGGTTGATTACAATGTTAATTATGATTTTCTTAAAAAATTGGGTTTTGTTATGATTTTCCTTCTAAAAAAAAGTAGGTTCTATTTTGATTCACTTCAAATAAAAAAGAAGATTTTGTGATCATCAATCAATTGTGAGCAAGGGATGTAGGTATGTATGAGATTAAACTCTAATGATCCTCAAAATCTTGCTGCTTTTATCCAATTCTGTTAATTCTATTCTAATTGCCTAGCTTCTCTTTTTGTTGCAAACCAACTGTTTGATAAATGTCTTGAGAGATAATCTTAATATACAATTATCTTGAAGAATTTTCGTTGAAAACTAAAATTTTCTTTTTGACCTGATTGGTTTTCAATAAATAGACTATTATTCTTAAATTGATCCTTGTTAACTTCATTCTTATTTGTTATTTGTCAGTTTATTGATCTAAACACTAGTGATATAACTGGAGGTTTGGAGACATGTCAACAATTTAGGTGGTTGTTTGGGCAGATGCTATCAACTTATGACCAGTTGCAAGAAAAAGATGACGCTTGATGCTTTAAACTATTAGATTGGCTACTAAGTATTGATGGATGGGAATTCAACTGAGCTAATTAGTTTTTGATTTGTTAGAATTAATGTTTAGGTGGTGCTATTTTTGGTCTGGTTTCCTGTTGTGTATGTTAATTGTTATGTTGCCTTCTGGCCAATTGGTACTTTTCCTCCAATGAAATTTTTATTTGGGTGATCTTTTTATTTTCTTTCCCTTTTGTAATTTTTGTTCTCTTAAAAAAATATGCACTGTTTTATTTACAAATCAAGTTTGTTGCTTGGATTGTAGTGGGCAAAGGGCTGGAACTATAGAGGGGAAAAAAAAAAAATTCAAGTGAAATAAAGCGTATCATAGACCAAATGAAACAAAATGTAACCCACAAAAAAATGTAACCCATATATTGGCAAAGTGTATCCATTCAACTAGAAATTGTGTATTCATGTAACTGACAATTGAACTCTAACATTAATAAATGACAAATACAGTAATCCATTTGGACTGAAAATTGATCACTGCTACAACTCTAAGAAAATAAAATTACATCCATGAATACCATTCAACACCAAAAAAACAAGGAAACAAAATGGCGTGTTCTAAATCAAATGGCATCCCCAGTTTCGGCTTCCAACCATAGTTGTCCAACTCATTAACAACATTGTTTTGTTCCACTAGCTGCAGCATACCATAAAAAACAATAAGTAATGACAATCATATAAAAAAAAGTAGAAATGCTTATAAATCATATATATAATCTCATCTTTTATTCTAAGTTAAAAGAAATGAAGGAACCGAGTTTCTCATCATAAACCATCATTCTTACTCATTGACTTAACTTTCCCTTGGCTCTGTTCCGTCAAAAGTGAATTTCTTCATTTTCTGTAGAGATAAAACACATGAAATGTGATTAGAGATAAGTTGTTAAGCACATGACTAAAAAAGGAAAAATAAATATGATCTAGACTTGCCAATTTTTTCCCAATTTTTTAAAAAAGGAAATCAAACAGAAATGTGAGGGGTGGAGTGAAGTGAATGAATCAAAACCAAAATCAAACCTAAACAGAGACACTTCCTATCTAGACTTGCCATAGTAATTTGAGTGAATGCTTGGTACCTATTCTTCATAAGCAACAACCTTTTTAGGGGAAAAATTTAAAATAAATATGATCTACACTTCCACTCATAGGCATTGCCAAGCCGTGTGCCAAATTTGCCATAGTAAAAAGCAATTTTGGCTCAAAACTACCAAATTTTGGCAGTCGTAGCTGTTTTAGGCTTTAGCTATCCACTGAAGATGCTCAATGACCATTTGGTTTGTCATTCATAAAAGTGGTATAATTGCACTAGGCAAGTTAACCTCCCTAGCTTTGGAAATAAACTAGTTTCAAGTAAGGGTGTAAATTGGCCAATTATTTTGATGGGGTTTGAAATTATTGGTTTGTGGTATGGTCTTGATAAGTATAATTTTTATTATATTTTTATGTAACAACAGTGTGTTTTTCACAAGTAATTGATTTGAAACTATTTTTACTTGATAGCAGTGTTCATTTTTCTTCAGCTTAGCTGGGCTCTGTTGTCCAATCATTTATGCAATTCTCATAAGAAACAGATTATGATATTAAGAGGGAGATTTATGGTTTGGTTTGGGCCGTGGTAATGGCCGGGTAGATTTGGGCCGAACAAGTTTGGGCCGCGGTGAAACGGGCCTATCCTGAAAGGTTTTGCTCGGTTAAGGCAAGGCGTGGTCGGCCGAGATGTTTGGCTTCATGGTATAGAAGCCGGTCGAGTGAGATGACCGACGCCAGGCAAGGTGTGGAGGTTCCACGGTGCATGATTTAGCTCGGCAGGAAGGCCGGTGGCAAACTAGTATGAGCTCTCCCGAGCTCGGCTATGCCGGGATGCAGCCGAGCTCGGTCCTCAATGAGCTTGGTTATTGGAATGCTTGGGCATGAAGTGCAGCATGGCCGTTGGCAGGCGAGATACTGCAATCCGGCTGCCGAGCTCCTAGTAGAGTGGGCTGCCAGTTGGGATTAGGTGATGTTCAGCAAGATCTGTGCTTACAGATGGGATAGCAGCACCACGTGTCGAGAGACTAATGGGAGTAAATTTGGGGCGCAGAAGGTATATAAGCGAGTCTACGCCTCCCATACTGAGGATGACACATTTTTGGTGAGATAAACACTAAACACAACTCAGTCCTCTCTCTCTCTCTATCCCTGGTGTGTGTGTCTAACTTGATCGTCAGAGAGGTTTTTCGACCACACACTGCCGGGTAGTTCACCGCTGTTGTGTTCGCAGGTCGATCGGACAGGCAGGAACTTAGAAGAAAGGAGTGCGGGCTTGCCTGAATATTTGCTCCCCACACAATTGGCGCCGTCTGTGGGAACATTGCAGACAAAACCTTGTCTTCCAGGCTCATCTGATCGCCGTCCATGGCGAACAACGAAGAGATTTCGCTGTCCGCCGTCGACGGAGTTACCCTGGAGTCGGGCAGAAGGAGAGAAGGACATCCCTCCATCATTCCTCCGATGGCGGACCTGGAGACTTCTCTAGGAGGACACTCAGGAGACGCACGCGATAAGCGCGGAAGAAGTTATGGTCATTCACGGAGTCTAGACGATCATCGGCGGCGGAGAGAATCGCACGCCAAACATCTGGAACACAAGCTAAGGGACCAGGACGCTGTCATCCGGTGAATGGCGGCGGAAATGAAGGAGCTGAAGCGGCATGTCAAAGGGAAGGGTGTAGCTGGAGGGGGAGACCACCGTGAGCGCACCCAACTCCGCCGTTCAGGTAGTTAGAGTCAGCGGCACACTCCTTCCATTTCTATCACCAGAAGTTACAAGGTTGGAGATTCCGACGTGCATGTAGAGAAATCCAGCGCGCAAGATAGCACTTACCAGCCTTCACGTCCGGTGACGACGTCGAGGTACTCTTATTCTGCTCAATCAGAGGATTTGCGGGCAGTTTTGAAGGAACGGGCTCGCCGGCGGGAGGTTTAGAGGGTGTCGACGTTCCAGCGGCTATCCTATGGGGTTTACGCCAACGAGGAGGTCGGAATGCCTCCACCCCACCCAGCCGCGCCTCTCCCTGTAGACACAGACTTGGCGAGGCTCAGTGCCACTCCATTCTCCGTGGATATAGAGACAACACCGCTTCCGGCGGGCTTCCACCAGCTAAAGTTCACGCTCTACAATGAAAAAATCGACCCGTATATGCATGTAAGTCATTTCCGACAGGTCATGGCCGGACATAGGCAGAATGACGCTCTTATGTGCTTGATCTTCTCGTTTTGGGTGAGCTGGGTTTGAAATGGTTCGAGAGGCTGCCGGAGGGGAGCATTAAAAGGTGGCAGCAATTGGCCGAGGCCTTTATGACGCGCTTCAAAACCAATACGAAAACACCAAGGGAAGTTGATCATCTATTGAGTGTCAAGATGGAACCGAGCAACACATTGAAGGCATACAACCCCAGATATTGGGAGACCTTCAACGAGATCTTGGATTGCCCGGTCAACCTTGCAATCACATAGTACAAGTGTGGTCTCCCGGTCGGACATAGACTGTGGGACTCGCTTACTATGCACCAGCCGACATCTATGGGCCAGCTAATGCAGCGCATCAATAAGCACATTCGAGTGGAGGGTGCGTCAGCATATACCGCGAAGGCAATTCCGGTAGCTATGGACAAGAGGTCGGCTGGCAAAGTGCACGCGGTCGGACAAGAGTCCAGCCGTTCAAATGACCGCGCTGAGGAATCGGACCGTGGCTCAAATCGCAAAAATCGGGATAGGGGACGTCGGAATGATCGGGATGACTACCCCCGGGATGACGTAGCCGATGCAAACAGAAGATTGAAGGCCAGGATAGGTATCACCATGGTCTTTAAGATTCCAATCTATCGCATACTTAGTGAAATCCGTGACGAGGAGTATGTCCGGTTTCCTGCTAAGTTGGGCGACGGATAGAAGGGCTTCAATCCGCGGTACCGTTGCACGTTTCACTGGGAGCGTGGCCACCAGGCGGAGGACTGTTTGCCTTTAAGGCAACACTTGGAAGAGCTAATCGCAGCCGGACACCTGGACCTTTACATTGATGGAGGCATGAAGGCAAATCAAGCTCTGGTTGACCCGCGGGGACCGGATGACCGGGATGCGCCTCCTCAAGGGATTGTTAATGTCATCCACGGGATAGTGGAATCGGCGCATATATGTGAGCTCCGCGGTATGATCAAGAAGGCAGAACACATAAGGGAAGTTTTGTTGGTTCAGCCTGCGATCAAGAAGGGGAAAGCCGAAGTGAAAGATGTGATCAGTTTCTCCTCAAGGGACCTAGAGCGCATTCAGACGCCGCACAACGATACCCTAGTGGTTACACTCCGTGTCAAAGAATTTGATGTCAAACAGATCTTGATCGATCAGGGAAGCTCGGTCGAGATCATGTATTACGACGCATTCAAACAGCTCAAGATCCGAGATACGGATTTGGCTCCGGCAACCTCGCTACTAGTTGGTTTCAACTCACAACCGGAGTGGCCTTTGGGAAAGATTATCCTGCCGGTCAAAGCGGGGTCCGTGGTAAAGCAGGTGGAGTTCTGGGTGTTGCAGGTGCCATCTACTTATAACCTGATCCTTGGAAGAGGATGGCTTCACGCTATACAAGCCGTGGCGTCAACCTACCACCAGGTAATGAGATTCCCCTCGGCTATGGGGGCAATTGAGGAGATATGGGGTGATCAAGTCATGTCGAAGCAATGCTTCGTGGCAGTGAACGGGAGCCGGGTTGCCAAGGTCTTCGTCCAAATGATTGAGGGACCGGAAGATCGGAGAGTCCTTAATGATGTGGGTACTAAGACCGAGGACAAAGCCATTGAGGAATTGGTGGAAGTGTGAATTGATACAGAGAATCCGAAGAAGTTTTTCTTGCTCGGCTCAAGCCTTACCGCCCGAGAAAGAGCCGAGATGGTTGAGTTTTTAATGGCTAATATCGAAGCCTTCGCATGGTCGCCTTACGACATGCCCGGCCTCGATCCGAGTTTTATTTGCCATCGCCTCAACATCTTCCTCGGAGCCAAGCCGGTCATTCAGCGAACAAGGAGATCGGCGCTGCATCATGCCGAGGTAGTTGCCGAGGAAGTGAAGAACTTGCTGGAGGCACGCGCAATTCAGGAAGTGCACTACCCTCGGTGGATTTCAAACACGGTCGTGGTGCCCAAGAAAAATAGGAAGTGGCGAGTCTGTGTGGATTACAAGACCGTCAACCGAGCCTGTCCTAAAGATAGCTTCCCTCTGCCCAAAATTGACCAGCTTGTGGATTTAACGGCTGGACATAACATGCTCAGTTTCTTGGATGCCTACCGCGGATACCATCAGATTGCCATGCATGGCTCGGACCGAGAGATCACCTCATTCACTACACCACGGGGACTCTTCTGCTATCGAGTTATGCCTTTTGGTTTGACGAACGCCGGGGCGACTTTCCAAAGAATGGTGACTAAGATGTTTGCTCCTTTGTTGGGCCGGACAATAGAGGCTTACATTGGTGATATGGTAGTTAAAAGCCGGCATCAAGCAGACCACTTAGCCATTCTCAAAAAACACAAGCTACGCCTGAATGCGTCTAAGTGTGCCTTTGGCGTGGGATCCGAAAAATTCTTAGGCTTCCTAGTCACGAACTAAGGCATCGAAGCAGACCCCACACAGATTAGAGCCATACAAGAATTGAAGCAGCCTAGCTCGGCTAAGGACGTGCAACATCTGGCCGGAATGGCCGCCGCGCTTAATCGATTTATACGTCAGTCATCAGATCGCTGCCGTCCTTTCTTTCAAGCATTGAAGTCAAAGTTCTCGTGGGATGAAAGTGTGATCCAGCTTTGGCCCA